ACGCACAAAACAACACTTCAAAGGACGTTTGAACGATAATAATGAACATAACATTTCTAGAATATTTTTTTCGAGTTTTTCGGGGTCCCAGATATAGAGGACGTAAAATTTCTGGAACTTTTTTAATGGTCACGTCTGTAAATGAAAAACTGCATCGGTGTGCATCCTCTTGTTAGAGTTGTAATGTGTGTTCCAGCAACAGTGGCATCCAGCCACCATGTAGTCCATCTAGGGGACGCCGTACGTAATACTTATTATGCATTGGGGCTACCGACGTCAGCCGTACAATGTCGCTATATTCTAATACTTCGTGTACAAGAGATTGCACATCACAAGTCCAAGGAAGGACTCAAATACAAGTTAGGCAAAAATATTTCTTTTCGTTTGACTCATTAGCAATTCTGTAAATTTCGTCTAGCGCTTGAACATTTGACTGTTTCATTCGGTAAGTTGTCTGTGAGCATTTCCAAACTGCCATTTTTCTGGTTATTTATCAAACGAAAGCGTCACGAGAACCAAGAGTCTATTGCGTTTGATCAAGCATCGTCCCTGCGTCATCGTCTGAGCCACGTCTTCATGCCGTCTAGCCAAAGGTATCAAGAATAGCTTGTGCACACTTATTTTACCTATGACGTCTTCCGGATGACAGTCGGCAAGTCGTTACGTGATGACTATTAAATTGCGCTGATGATGACTATTAAATTTATATCTGATGTTGCAAATAGCTATTATTCTAGGTCGCATAAATTTTGAGTTATTTCTGGAGTAATTGTTTCACTACTGGTAACAAATATACTCGATCTCTTCCTAATAGATTAGTGCAGGTTTTTAACATCATTTGTGCTGTTAAATTTAAAATTCTGACCATGTTACTCTATGTGATACAGACTTTTGAAGTGGAACTAACAAAATCAAAGAACATACCAAACAGCTTTTAACCTCGAAATTGTATTTTAATGCTGGTTACTTAGTTATTCTCAGAAATGTACATTTAGCTGACTGCGACCGACCTATGTATACTGCAGTTAAATTATCACTGTGAATCTAGCTAAAACAATGGCTGGTCTTCGCAAGCATACAGCCTGCCATGTAATCGATTGACAGCTAGACGTTGGTGTTATCAATCAGGGTGTATAAAAGACCATCCCGACTCCTTTCCTTTCACTCTCTTCAGCCCGCCAGCATGACCAAGTGCGCTTTTATGCTGATCCTCATTCTTTCGAATGTGGTTTCCTTACTCGCGTGGCACCTTTTGGTATGTTATGTGAATATTGCTATAGCAAACCGTGCATCATAATTTATGTTTATGTGCTAGCTAGCAAATTGCCTGTGAAAAGGTGAACATGTCGTCGGAAATCCTGCAAGATGTGCTTTTATGAACCTGCCTGTACGAGTGTTTGAACCCATACTAATTTTATATGATATATATGACTAAATAAAGCAATCTAGGAGTGCTTAAAGGCTTGGTATCCTATAAAACATAATTCCGCCACGTCCGACTCTCTAACTTTGGTCTACAAAAAATTAAGACACCTTCACACTAGGCGTACATGAGTGAGGAAAGGGTCGAGCTGGGCAGCTTTTTCTGCAACACTTCGGCTTCTTTTCGCAAGAAGTCTATTTGCCTAAAAGGCTTTTAAGTGCCTGTGTGATAGGGTTATTGTATCAATGTACATCATCATCATCATCATAGTCATCATCATCATCATCAGTCTGACTACGTCCACTGTAGGACAAAGGCCTCTCCCATGTTCCACCAGCCAACTCGGTCCTGTGCTTCCTGTTGCCAATTTATAAACGCAAACTTCCTATTCTCATCTGCCCATTTAACCCTCTGTCTCCCCCTTACCCGCTTGCCTTCTCTAGGAATCTACTTAATTACCTTTATTGACCAGCGGTTATTCTCTCTACGTGCTACATATCCGGCCTATGTCTATTTCCTCTTCTTGATTTCAAATATGATATCCTTAATCCCGGTTCTTTTCTAATCCACTCTGCTCACTTCTTGTCTCTTAAGGTTACGCCTATTACGTTCCATTCCATTGCACGTTATGTCGTCCTCAATTTAAGCTAAACCCTCTTTGTAAGTCTTCAGGTTTCTGCTCCATAGCTAAGTGCCGGCAAGATGCAGCTGTTGTATACCTTCCTCCTGAGGGATAGTGGCAATATACCTGTCATGATATGAGAGTGCTTGCCAAATGTGCTCAACCCCATTTTTATTCTTCTAGTTACTTCAGTCTGGTGGTTCGCCTCGGCAGTTATTACCTGTCCTAAATAGACGTAGTCTTTTACAACTTCAAGTGCGCTATCACTTATCTCGAAGCACTGTTCTCTTCCGAGGTTGTTGTATATTACTTTCATTTTCTGCAGATGAATTTTAAGACCTAGTTTCCTGCTCTCCTTGTCTAACTCCGTAATCATGAGTTGCGATTCGCCCCCGAGTTAGTCAGCAATGCAATCTCATCAGCGAAGCGCAGGTCACTAAGGTACTCCCCATTAACTCTTATGCATAACTTTTCCCATTCTAGGTCTCTTAAAACCTCTTGTAAGCACGCGGTAAATACCATTGGAGGATTGTATCCCCCTGCCTTACACCCTTCTTGATTGGTATTCTGTTGCTTTGTTTATTAAGCACTATCGTATCACTTGATCCCCTGTAGATTTCTTCAAGGATGTTTATATATGCTTCGTCGACGCCTTCATTATGCAGTATCTGCATGACTGGGATGATTCTACAGAACCAAACGCCTTCTAGTGATCTATTAAGGCTACGTATAGTCGTTGGCTATATTCTGAGCATTTCTCTATTACCTTATTGATAATATGAATGTGGTCGATTGCTGAGGAAGCCATCTATATCCTGCTTCTTTCTGTGGTTTGATTCAATTTTAATGTCTTAACTTCTGTTAGCAACTACCTTTGTAAATAGCTTGTATACTACGAAGCAGCAAGCCTGATGGCCTGCAATTCTTCAAGTCCTTGTCATCTCCTTTCTTAGGCATGAGGATGATGTTAGCATTCTTCCAATATTTTGGTACTCTTCTCGTCAGGAGACATCTCGTATACAGGGTCGCTAGGTTTTCAAACAATCAATCAATGTACAGTCACCATTCAATACATATGTAAGGACACGTTTCACTATCGTGTTACACCGACTTTAATAGCGAGAGATCAACCATGTGCTTTTTTCCTTTACCCTCTTTATCTGTCTCCTCTTGTATTTTCTTGTCTCTAACTCCTAATAAATATTTGCTCCCCCTTCTTCTTCTCTTTCGTTTTCTCGCTGTTTCTACTTTTTATTTTCCCCCTTTCTCTTTCTCTTTGTTTCGCTCTTGCTTCTTCTCTTTTTGTTTTATACGTGGCATTGCCTGCGTTATACCGAGCTCGGGCAACTTTCTTTTTTGCCGTTGATACTAAGTTCCCGTCATCAAGCTGCGCTAAGAACAAAAGAAAGGAGACTTCTTGGCACCACTGTGCTCTGAGTTTACATCATCAAGGGAATCAAAAACAAAAAAAGACTTCCTGGAAGGAAAGGGGGCGCTCAATATACTACGCAAAGAGTGTTATGCTAAGCAATGACATTAGCACATTACACCATACGAAAGCCCAGCCCCCTAAAGCGTCTCGCAATGAAAATGTAGTAGTAGTCTACAATAATCCCAATGGGCGTGTGCTACAGAAAGTGGACAAGGTCCACTACTTACTTGCAAAGAGCACTGCTATGTAAGCAACATAACAGAGCTGGAAGAGGACAAATGCATCGCGAGAGGGAACGTATAGCATAAGCCAAGTATATGTGATAGCTAAGTTTAGCATATTAGGGAGTTGGAAAAGGTAAGAAATGTACAGGTGGTATCAAACTGGGTATGAGGTCAGTGCTCGAAGACACACGAAGAAGCGGAGGAAGGTACTCCTAAATTCTGCGAAACCCTGCTAAATCATCGTGAAGTTCGTTTACGTATGGATTACTTGCACGTAATAACCGAGGCTTCCCTTCAGCTCCGCTCTATCTTCAGAACGTTGAGCCAGATAAATCTTGGCATAAATGCTCTTAAGCAATGCTATTACTCTGCCCACTTCTCTCGGAGTCCTCTGTCTCTCACTGCCCATTAGCAGCAATTGGCATACCCCAGTAGGAAACTCCGGATCATTACTGTGTGGTTTGCGCCTCCCGAGGTTTCTTTCCTGCGCAACGTTGCGATGAGCGCCAGCGTCGACGTCGCCGCCAGTGTAAGCGTTAGCACTCACTGCTTCGCATCTAGACATAGTTGCCTTAAACGAGAGGTGGTTGTAATTACTTTATAGAATGTTTTTGTTTCTCGTTCGGTATCGTTAATAATACAACCTCATTTAAGTGATTGAAATACGTACATCGCCGAAGTCTTACTGGACACCAGCATAAAACACTTGCGTGTTAAAATTGTCAGATTTCTTGGTTAGACAACACGCGACGTTGAAAATATCCCACAAGCAAGCAATGCCATTCGCAATCTTCACTTTGCGTAAAACAACATCACATATTATCTTAGTTCAGCTTGGCATCCTGCCCGTGTCTGAATGGTATGTAAAAAATGTGTGTTTTGTTTTTGAGGTTTTTTCTCGCTCTCTCCTTACCGACATATTTTACTGCTGCTTTGTGAGACCAATGAAAGTTGACAAGCGGTCAATAACAACCTGCAGTTACCTAAAGCTAGAAATATTTACGGCAAATGGCAAATAAGGATTCTCTATCTCACAGATTTCGTTCTGAAGATCACTTTTAGTTGATTTAAAATGAATAATCCTGTTAATTTCGAAAGAAAATATTAAAAATCAGAATTTTTAATGTATGACTGATGCATGCTGGTAACTTTGCAGAAGAATATATATATATATATATATATATATATATATATATATATATATATATATATATATATATATATATATATATATATATATATTATGGGTGTCTCTATATTGTATATGTGTACTTAAGCATGCTCGTTCTGATTACGCAGCCTGGTGGCCGAAGTGGTCCTGGTGGTGGACGCCATCGAAGCAACGGCAAAACCGAATCCAGGTGTGGGCATGTTGTGCTCTTGCACAATTTGTTGCATGTCTCACAGGGACCCCGTGACTCTGTCAGACGCGCAGTTCCTAAATAAATGTTTTTACACTTTCATTAGAGATTCGTCTCAGAAGAAAAAATGTCAACTTATGGAAGGATATATGTAACCGAAATTTAGGTCACGCAAACAGGAAAAAAATCCCTCCGTGATGAGAAAATGCGAAGACACCGGAGCTCATCTCAAAAGTTATGTGTGAGATCATTTTATTCTCGATATAAACGCCTGAGATCGAACGCAGTTTGCCACCTGAGCAAGCAACCGACAGCAAGAGCCTGCACTGCCTATTACGAGCAGCGAATAAGGTGCAGTGGTCACCAAGGCTTATAGGTTCATGCTGAAACCTATACTAAATGGCTAACTAACAGCCATTCTAAAAGGCGAATACGCAACAGCACTCTTAAGTTCGATAGTTGTTTGCGTATGTTTGGGAGAGCGAAAGAAAGACCAGTCACAAGCAATACCTTTTAGATAGCACACCTGCCCACTAAGGGCTATTACAGCATGTTAAGAGATATTAATTTCCGTGGTCAAGCATGGTGAAGATGAAAGAAGTGCCGTCAATTCTTCGATTCAAGTAATGCGTTGTCATAGAGCTCAGTGTGCAGATCTTATACCTTAGAGGCGCTACCGGTGAATAAAACACTCGGTTTGTGATCTATGGATTTTAGGTGCGAACGCTTTTACATCCACAGCATCAACCTCCGGGTAAAAACAAAGGGAAGAATTATTGTATAGTCCTTACCTTCAAAGTCAATTTTGTTCAAACTCGGTGAACCCGTGCTTCATGCCGTAAGCATCGCGTTCCAATAGAACTTAGGCCGAAGAAACCACATCACCAGAGCCCGGCATGCGCTAAGAACTACTTCTTACTGGACGTCTTCCCTACTTCGGCAAAGAACGTATGCTTTGTGACGTTCCTCCACCAGATGTCAAGTAGTTTATTTACGTACAGACCTACTGGAAGGCCGAGGAACGCCAGAAGAGCGAGGAACACCAACAGGCTGAAAATACAAAATAAGCGCAAGCTCGGGTCGCGCGTGTGCACCAACGCTGTGGCTTGCCGTTTCTTGCTGCTTCGTCGTCGTTCGCGTAGTTCCCTACAGCTTCAATGTTTATATTCGATGAAACCTATCTCATCAGTACCCCGGGTGGAGAGTGGGAGTTCGAATTCTTAGGCTTCTCAGCACTCCGCCCTTTAAATAATAACGTATATTGATTGTGATGACAAAAAAGTGGTGTCCTGGCTCTAGTGAGCCTTTTTCTACCCGTGCAAGATCAGGATCCCTTGATCGTGCATTAATCCTACGGCTTCCAACAAATCTTCGACGAGGAGACGCTACTGTTCTGTGCAGACTAAGGTCGAGCGTCACGTTTACCGTGCGTACGCGCTCCGCATAGAGATGGACGACACCACCAGTCGTGAAAACTGCGGAAATTAAGAGACAACTCGACACGTCCTGTGCGACTGCCCGGAATATAGCATAAAAAGACAACGCCTTTTTAATACACTAAACAGGTTAGATGACCAGCCGCTGTCAGAGGAACGTATACGGTACCTTTGTCTAGACTAATCATCACAGAAGGCCGCGCAAGCGCTACTGACCTTCTTGCGCACTACTGTTACTGAATTCATATTTGTTTATGTTCATTACGTAAGGATTTTATGAAAGTTTGATTACCAATTCTCGAATTTGCTAATCTTTTCTTTTTCTAGGAATAATAAATGATGCACATTTCGCGAATCGTAAGTGTGCATAATCAAATTTTAACGCCGAACTGCACCTCGTACTTTTTTATATAAACAGGTCTGGTCAGGCAGCGTCGCCCCTTTGGTTTTACCGTCGAGAGCTATCGAACATTGATCATTTTTACTTATTTGCCGTCATTTCACAAGGCATAAGAAGAAACATTCAGAAGCTTTATTCAGAGATTTAAACATTATACTCTTAATTTTGAAAATATCCTTTCCCTTGGGGCTTCTTTTGTATGTCACAGCAACAGGAGTGTCTGCAGTAGTTTGTGAATTTCTCAGAAACACAAGAAGGTTTCCCTGTTAGATTTTCTTTTTTTAACTGATGAAATTCCAGTTTTTTTGTTACCACTCATTTATTTGCCTAAGTTCATATTTATTTACCAACATTTCTCGTAGGTCCTCTTCATATTCTTCACTTTCATATTTCCTAGTCGACTGAATAATTACTATATATTCATCAATATTTGAAGTTCCTTTTTTTCCTTTACAATAACCACCGGCTTGATGGCCAATCCCCCGTGGTGGGTACGGTGCAAAGCATATAAGAACAAGCAAGCAAAAACAGCTGGCCCAGAGAACAGGTGTTGTCTTTTTTCTCGCTCATTACAATGGCGCAGCTGGACAACTGAACTTTCCAGCTATAGCCATCTGCCTCCGTGGGTCAACGGCAGTAGGTCATATCCATCTAAGGAACGCCATCCACGCTTCCTTGCTCATGGACTCCGCAACCCTACGACTGCCAGTAGGACCTACACCACCGTTTGAGGACGGCGTCCGAGCCTCCTTAGGGCCCAAAGGCAGGATTACTCCATCGCTGTCAAGATCGCGCGCAGCCTCCTGTGGCAGGGGAACATTGTTCAGGGTTCCCATGGCAACAACCTCCCGCTCAGCTGATTCTCGACACCTGAGTTGTTGAGGGTGCTACCACAGCTCCACATGACAAGGATCCCCTTCATGTAAGTACAGGCATTGTCTTCTACTCCTCTTAAATCGCCACGGGCTCCACGTGCGGATCGCTGGATAGCGCCACGCAGCTGCGGCAAACCATAGCACGACTCCGCTCCACGATAAACTGCTTAGTTGTGTCGAGCTCTTCGCTAATTCCTGCCATTGTGCCAGCATTAAGCGCCGCCGACGCTATGCTGGACATAGCCGCCTCACAAGACCTGGAGGTCAGCCCAGCCGAGCAATGCAGCGAGCTACGGGATGCCCTCACGCAAATAACAGCCCAGATGGGTTGCTTCGCGTTTGCGCTTTCAGCCTTGTCATTTGTGATCCCACCATTGCAAGCTGCCAGCAAGATATCAGAGTTCCACGGTGTGGATAATGACGCTGACGACTGAGTGACAACCATTATTACGCGCTAGAAACTCGCAAGGATTGTACGGGCGAACAGAAATGGTGTGTTACCATTGACCACCTTCTAGACCGCACCGCAGCGTGGAACCGGTGTGAATGCGTGAGGGAGCAGTTCTGGGCGGACTGAGGCACCAAGATCATAGCCGCCTTCGGACAGATTGGCTACGACCTCACTTCCAGCGCCTATTCCAACCTCGCGGAGAAAGAGAATGAAGCGATAGAAAGGCATCACCTTGAATATGGTACTGCGCAGTGCAACGTATCCACAACAAGCTTCTCACTTTGCTCTCATACCAACCCTGGCTAGACTCAGGCAGCGCTCTTACATGGTGCCGCTGTACGACGTAGTGCCACCACGACAAGGTGACGAGACCACATTTCCTCCAGGGAAGTTGGTCCAGCGTAAGCCAAGCTCATTTCTGTTGGTGACCTAGATTTGCCGTATAGCCTCATACTTGGTGCGCAGTCACTCCAGACATCAGAAAAATCAGATACCTTGTTAATCCGTGACACCAACCTGGCAGATGCCTGAACATGTCTGTTTCTGATAGGGAGAGCCAGCATTCAGAAAAAAAAACACAACCACCGTACCTGAGTGCGGAACATGAACAGGTGGAAAAAAAGACGTACCATGTGTCGAACACGCAGTAGTTCATCGAGGTATCACAGAACGTACGCAGGAAAGTTTCCCCGTCGTTATTTCAACGGCCTGCTGATGGACAAAAACCGCACTGGGCTTCATAACCTTGGCACCAAAAAAAGCCACCTAGACCATTTCCAGAGCCATCGGCCGTCAATGAAACCGAATGGAGGGAGCAGCTCGTTTATGAGGCACTTGACGAAAGTCTTGGCAATTTTCTCCGTGCTGTCAATCATGCGGGTGTCGCCGAAAGAAAGCACTGAGAGGTCTTGCAAGCCACGGTGCCTCATCGGATACTGATCCAGCATCCTTTCTAGGGCATGCAGCGTCCTCCGTTAACTCTGCAACAACGCCAAAGCCAACCGCTGGAAGCATGTCTTGCGGGTAATATGGCGTCGCAGTGTGGCCGAGCCCAACTGCTGCAATTTAATCAGGCCCGCCCACCAGACCCACTTATCCAAGATGGACCAGGCAAGCCACAGCATCGTGAGGACCTACCTCTGCAAGGTCGCCAAGATCACCACTGGCTGCACTTTCGACAGTTCTCCAGGACCTACCACTCTCATGCTGCCAAAGCCACCCACCAGAGAAGCTCCTCAGATCCACGTTGCAGTGTGGTCAGGACCGGTCACAACAAAGCAGCCAAACCCACCCACCAGAAAAACGTTCGGCAGCCAATCCCGCCCACCGGAAGCACTGTCGGCACCTCCGCGCGCGTGCAGTCATGGCCGAATGTGACGACTAAAATTGGCACCGTTGCTCAAGCCCGCGGAGAACTAGAGAAAAGGGGTAGTGTGAGGGGATGATAAATCACAGAATAACAACAGCTGGCCCAGAAAACAGGTGTTGTCTCTTTTTCCGGTATTCACGGAAGATATCATTTCAAAATGACGCACCTACGAGCGAAAACTGTAATTCCAGCGTTTGAGCCGGGCTCTGGCGTATACGTATGCCCGAGATAATATCTTTGACGAAGCCAGACTCCAGTTGAAATGTTGAAACAAAAAAAAGCTTTCCCACGATTTCGGATATCTTGAACTTTTGCAAAAATATATATTCAAGACACGCTTTTCGAATGTGTGCGTTTGCGTTTATGTGTGTGTGTCTGTGTGTTTATATCATTTTGCGTGTGTGTAGTTTAAAATATTATTCTGGTATTGCCTGAAACAAAATAATAGTGCTTGTGATGATGTCGTGATTGTTTTTTTTTTCTTTCCAGAAAATATGCATAGAATAAATTACACGCTCTACAAAGCAAGTGAGTATGCTGTTTCATTTGTACATGCCCTCGACAAAGAAATAAGAAAGGTGTTGCGTCCTATATAGTATGGTAATGACAACTGCTCTATAACATTTAAACAACATGCAATTTCAATATTCTTGCAGCTTGGGCATCTTTTTTTTACTTAATAAGTACAACATCGCCTATGCCACAGACGCTACCAAAATAGCAAGAAAAATCCTGCTTCGTTAAAGACCAGTAAAAAAATTGGTCATTTGTATATGCTATAATAGAAATACGAGAATTTCTCATATTTCTTATTCGTAAGGTGATATGCAAAACTACCGATTTACTGCCAGCAGCATCATACCTGGAAGCCAATTTGTTGCAAACTGAAAGCAGTGTACTGCAAAATATGGCACCTCATCTGACATTCTTGTTTGTTTGTCTGTTTGTTTGTTTGTTTGTGCCAATCTTGGCGCTGGTGGTTGTACTGTGGGTTTTTTTATTATAAATAGTGCGAAACATTGCCTAGAGAAAAGCCAATTGTTGCTGCAGCCGCATTGCTTTGCATGCATTTATATTACCTTTACTTTAAGTCGAATGATTATATGCTCATGAAAAAACATTGCAGTTTCATTTCAAAGGTATATCAGTGAAAGCCAGAGCAAGAAAGCGAAATGTTGTACAAAGTTAGACTATCAGCTAACTGTTCTGAATCAGATCTCGTGCTTATTTACTAAATGCTGGTAATAAAACATGACCATTATAGGAGCTGAAGTGGCTTTCAGGCTGTTCGCTGTATCCTAGTGAAGTAATAGGAGCACAACACGTACGCGAGCAGTATTTGGAGTAGAGGGAGCGCCGCACGCCCGACCACGCCCTTAGAGGCATCGGTTCAGAGTTACTGCAACAGCCATGCAGCGGTAGCGCGCCTACCCAAAATCGCTGAAATACAGGCGGCGCTTTTCTCTGCCGCCTGGGGAACCATCAGCGCCACGCCTCGCACGAGGGGTGCTGGTATCGAATGTGCTGTTCGTGTGCTGAAGATGGCTAGGTCTTTTCACTTCTGCCTAATTCACTCTCGTACTAAACGCTCGAACGTTTTTACTGGCGCTTCAGCAAGACTAGGAAATGCAGAACGTTTTATTTCGGCGAAAATGCGACCGGCAAAAGAAACGTCGGCGCACAATCGATTTTACGCCGTAAACTGATGGCTGCGATAACAATCGTCGGCCACCTAGTAACCGGTCTTGGGTGAGCTGCGGCGGCTGTTTCTTATGCATGTGACATAGAACACTCGATTCTTATATCTTGTGCTCGAGAAAAGCTTGCAAATGAACTGGACAATTTGCAGCCTGCGTGTACTGCTAACAGAATGGGCTCGAAGCTTATAAAACATTGCTGTGCCTTCTTCGCCAACCCCTCGAAACAGACTTTGCTGGTGAAGCCTGAACACATCAAAATGAAAGGATTGTGGTGAGACCCGCCTCTGACACTGTCCCCCCGATGCTTCAAAAAGAACAGGTGAATTGAAAGATGCTAGCATTACAAAGAAACACTAATGAACAAAGCCAAGCGATCGTCTTCGGGACCCTAAACTCACACGGAATAACTCAAGCTGTGCGACACCAACGACTTCAGATCATGCGCTACACCACTCGATATCGACAGTGCCATCCACTATGATCCCGTTGTCTAGAACGCCGTGACGACAAAACACATTGTGTGGTGCGAAGTATCACCCAATAAGTTTTTTTTTCTGACGCAATGTCAGCATATTGTAGTCCAGAAGCACACATCATTGCCAGGCAGGTATTCTATATGGCGTCGTGGAAGATTGCAATAACAATTGCCGCTGTTATTTTGGCTTTGGATGCGCAGGATGGCCTGTTGGTAGACGGTTTCATGTAGGTATTCTTCGTCAGTGAAGTTGAATAGCATGGCGTCGAGCGTCAATGCCAGACTTCTTCCGTAGACAAACGTGTATGGTGGCACCAGCGTCATTTCTTGTATAGTCGTATCGTATGTTAATGGCAAGCACGTTGTGTTGGACATTGACGTACATGACGAGCATGTTGGCGGTAGCCTTATTTAGAAGTTCAGTGAAGCCACTGGTCTGTGTAATAGGCTGTGGCCCAGTGGTGGCATGTTAGGCTGTACCTCAAGACCGTCTGAGTTAGGTCGGCAGCAAAAGCTATACGTCTGGCGTGGATGAAGACCACCGGTGTGCAAAGATGGAGGCGATGTCCTCAATTATGAAGTTCACTACCTTAGTGGCACTGCCTTTTGACAGCGCCATTGTTTTGGTGTAGCGCGTGAAGTAGTTATGCATACAACGAGCTATGTGTGTCCTCTGAGGTAAAGCAGTGCCATTGCGGCTCTGCTACTGGCCTAAATTTTGGTTTTGATGCCAGCCAGGACGTCGTGTTTCGACGAATCCGAAATGGTAGAAGCACGTGAACTGTTACATGTCATCTCCCGTGAAAGAACACCAGAACAAAAATTCCTGTAGCCCTAGACTCCAACATCTTTGAAATTCATATTTGTGCATTTGGGACACAAGACCACACATATTATTTTCAAATTTATTTCTTGCTGAAGTTGACGTCACGAACGACCACGTAAGTTAATCCCAGGTTGCTAAAATGGTTTGTTAGCTCGTTCGATGAACTGCAGAGTTCAACTGGCTTCGTTGGCGGTGTCTCCATCGTTGACGACCTCTGCAAGTCTTTAGTGGTGGGTGACGTTCGCTGTGAGGCAAGTTGAGTATTCTTATTGCATTCTCGTGAGCGTGAGGAAAATATTTACGTTTCCACTTATCGGGTCATTACAGACAGCTACCAGGACCTCTGGACGTAAGGCTGCAGGTAGTGCGATGAGGTAGTTCACTTGAAGTGGTAATCTTTTTTAGGAGACTATTCTGCAAAACACGCTGAAACAACTTCCGAGCAACGCTGGACGCCTTTACGGCGTATTCTTAAGGGTCATTTCAGGGGCGCTGAACACTTTTCAGAATACAAAACAAAAATGTGGGTAATACTCTCTATTTGTTTTTATACTTTCTCGCGTACACGTGGCATTAAACTTTCTCTTCATATCCCTTGTGGATGGATGGTAAAACTCTATTTCGTCAGAAAGCAACTGCGAATGAATCCGTGTTAGATGACCATCAACCCAAAGTTGGCGGCGACCTGTGCGGCCCACTCCACGACCCTTAACTGGACGACTGGGTCTGAGTAGGTCAACACGGCCGTGCTTGCGTAAGCTCTCGAATAAAGCTTACCCGTCGCGTCTTGCGTGCAAGCTTGAAAGAGTGATCTCAAACAACCTCGAAGCTTATAAAACTTTGAGGTGCGTTCAAAACAAAGCGTCCACAACAGGCTTTGCGGGGGCAGCATGACAACATCAAAATAATATACGTTTGGCATCGCCATTCATTAGGGTTTTTTACCGAGCATGAAGACAACGGTAACCGCGACGGATATATCAGCGAATAATGTCCTTGTCTCTTCTAGTAGAAGAAGGGCCTGTCACTTCTAGTAGGTCAATAAACTGGCGTGATTTCACCTGCGCACAATTTTCTGGGCACATTTGCAAATCTTATACTTCAATGAAGTTTTCTTTTTATATACAACGTATATATACATGACGATAGACATAGTAAATAGCTGGTAAGCTCAGGAGTTTAAACGTCACAATTGTTTTATTCCACTAGTGTACCGACCTCTCCATCTAACTTTTCTTGTACCCCAAACAAACATGCCTGCCAGAATAACTGATGAGAACCGACCATAAATAGAAAATACTGGCTATGCTCACGCACATTGCTTAATACTTCGGCCTGTCGAATGGGTTGATGATGACGTTCATGATTGTTATCAGGTAATAGATGTCGGGAAATACTGAGGAAGGTGAGAGTGGTTCAACAGCACGCGAGCAGCACTAAACATCGCAGGCTTAAACTGTGTGAGTTGAAATATTACTATGATTCAGGAACAACGTATGCTATCAGTTTCGAGACTTCGTGATTATGAGAATACTCTTTTTTTTCGCCCAAAGTATTAGGCACCAGCTCTTCTTTCTCCTGTGCTTCCTACCATTTAGAAACACTGGACACAATTTCAAAGCAACTTCAATTATTCGCCAAGCTAGTGCACTTATGTGGAAAATGTTTAATAGCATTTACCAGGACTAGGAATAAAAAATCTCTAAAACTCTTTAAGTGCAAGGCGCCAGAATATTTGGTTTGCAACAATAAGATTTCTTAGTAGTCTTTGATGTCGTATTGCTAAGATGAAGCTCATGATTTGTTACGCCATATGTTTGCTTTGTCAAAGTTTATTAGAGTTTGATAATCTCTGGTATAGACGGACAAGGAGCCTTTGTAAATTATTGTGCATATAACAACAATGTCAGTGGATTTTCAATAGCATGAAATGAATTTAATAAATAATATTCTGCGCAACTACCACTGGTCTAGCAGCCCCACCAATCACGTTGGAACAAGATGCTTTTTCGAATTATATTCTCGATGCCATGCTTAATGATCACAGGGGCTCGTAGCTACAAATCTAACGCGTTCTAACACAAGGTGACTGTCCGAAATGGCGGTATGAGTCACATACAATGAGTGACTCACATTTCAATAAAATGAAAATTGAGGCACGTAATTCTATTTTAATTTTATAATTGTTGCCCAGGCTACTGCAAAATAGCTTCGTTATCATATAACAGAGCGTTCTATTTTAGGGCGCTAGATGTGTGGCAGTAGTTTTAGGCACACTGTGGGTTTTTTTAATGGTTTAAAAAAATTACACAAATATCAGCGACCTTGCCTTGCTCTACTCAGGCGATTTTAGGAACACGTTTCAACGCATTTGCGCCGTTATATTTTGAACTACTTCACTTCTTTTTCAGAATGCGATAGCAGAATCAGCGAAATCTGCCTGTACCCTCTATGTAAGTAGACCAATTTAAAAATTTTTTCTTAAATTTCTTCTAGAAAATTGCAATAGCCTAATACTCACGAAAGCAGTGCATTCATTATCTTCCAACAAGACAACACTTTTTTGGCATCCTCTGGAAACCCCGCCAGTCAGTACTCGAGATTTCTGCAAACAAGTGAACAAAATGGTAAAGTGCTGCACGCCCCCTCAATTTTACAATTCTGTCTCAATATCAGCTGTAAATCACTCTCTTCTCTTGACAAATGATCCCGTATGCCCAAATGACCACGTAAAAACCGTAAGTCTACGATCATTGGTTTCTGGAAACAGAGTTATTGCCACCACCATGACATACCTGTGCTTTAGCTCGCGAACACACTAAAACCAAGTCGCATATTCGAGTAAAATAAAACAGTCACAGTTTCGGCGCCAGGCTCAAGCAATGGATGCGATAGCAACACGTCGGGCTGTTATACGAAGTAATTATATGTTTTAGGTGCGAAAGTGTTATTGCACCTCATCTGGGGCAGTGAGTTAAGTTTGTACGTCTAAATTGATAGTGGCGGTGCGAGTTTCGGTGGCAATGAAATTCACAGGCATGACAGGACCAGCAGCTTTTTTAATAGTGCTGGAGATCTAGGAACCATACGAAACGTAGTAAACATGGTCGATTGGACTTAAACTGAGAATAATGCAGTAACCACAATATCAAAGCACGTGTTGTGAATAGTTGGCTGCATGACGTCCGACAGGAGACAAAGTCCAAGTTCGGCCTCGAGAAACGAGACAATGCACTGGTTTTCACCTCGAAGTACATTAACGTTTATGTCTCCTGTGGCTATCGCCAGCACATCTTGTAGGCACACTGCATGGAAGTTGTACGGCAATCTTGACGCTCTTCCTGAAAGTGCTTAGTGAGAAGCCGTCGGATATTTTACATGTGAAAGCGTCACCACAACTCATCTGGAGCAGCGAATTGTGTTTGTCCGTCTTGAGTGATAGTGGCGGGGCGCATTTTGATGGGAACTGAATCCACAAGCATGACAGAACCAGCAAATTTTCAAATAGTCCTGTACTTGATGCGAGGAACTTGTCCTGTTCATTCAGAAAATAGAGCTAGAGACTTTTTCGATTGCTGTTTTCATCCAACTGCACGAGCTTCGTGAACCCACCCTTCAATTGATGGAACCATAGGACACGTCAATGTTTAGGAAAAGCATGTCTGGCTTGTCTAAACAAAGGGCTTGTTTTGTTCAAGAATGTTTCTTTCAATTCCACTGACAATAAGCCAATGATGAATGGTGTATATACATAACTCGTCGTTAGTGAGATGCACAGTAGGAGTGGCGTGGCCTAGTTGGTTAATGCAGTGCGCTGAGAAACGAGGCGCCACTGCTTCTAATTACCCGTAGGTTCCTTGGAATATTTTCTTCTGAATCAGTTTTTTTTTCTTTATTTTATTGATATATACATACATATCCGAGACATTATGGCGACGGTAAAAATGAGCCGCGAGTATCCATGTAATTCCTATCACAATAAAAGTGCTCAAGGTTGTGGGACGCCTTGAAAAAAATACGTAGTATCTTACCCCCTTGTCAGCCCCCTCTATTGACACAGCTTTCAGATTACTCAAGGGTACATAGACAGAGAATAAGCACCTGAAACGAGTGACAAATATTTTCAAATGCGCTTGGACTTGACAGAATGTTAACTGTTTCGCCACAGCCTTTACGTCAGAGGAGAAACTCTCTGATTGAAGCCATTTACTGAATATTTGGAAGCGCTTTCTAGGATCTTAGGCGGACAAAGCCGTTCAGGTTTTGCTTAAGCCACGCTGTGTTTACAGGACACCAGGCCCAGTTTTTAAGTAACCATGTGACACCCATATAGACTTAGCTGAGCTGTCTGTTTAAGTACAATGATACGCCGCTAAAGAATGAGATTCTAATTAAGTTAAGCTAGTTGGGCGAAGTTTTTTTCGTCAGTAATATTTCGGAAATTTTCGTGATTCAGTTTCGAATGAGAACTAAGGATATGCAAAATGTTCCGAAATCCCTGAGACTTCATAATTTAAAAACATACACGGATTTAACCAAACAAAATATAACAAACTACACAAACATATCGCCACCTATTTGTGTAGCATCCTCAGTATGCACTGGCACCGAATAAGTGAAGGTCACCTAATCTAATTCTAGGCTCGTATGTCTTTGTACGCATCTGGTAGGAGGTCACGGTTGTTTCACGCCGTCTTGTTGTGGCGGATGAACCACAACTCGAGAAGACATATCTAAGTAAACACAAATTAGGTCAAGTGCAACTCAGCTCAGCTTAACTTGGGCCTTGTTAGCTAATCAAAGTCTAATTAAGTAAACACTAATTAGGCCAATAAAGAAGGTGTGACCGAAGAAGTGCCGAACTCAAGAAATCGAATGTAGCTATCACACACAGACCCAAATTACCACGCTGCAGCTGCTACTGCGAAACAAAGTTGTAAGTGGGTGATTTCAACTTTCATGTGCATGAAAATCAACAAAGAATTCAGAAAGGCCAGTGCGTCTAAGAAAGATTGTTAGCCCCGCCGCGGTGGTCTAGTGGCTAAGGTACTCGGCTGCTGACCCGCAGGTCGCGGGTTCGAATCCCGACTGCGGCGGCTGCATTTCCGATGGAGGCGGAAATGTTGTAGGCCCGTGTGCTCAGATTTGGGCGCACGTTAAAGAACCCCAGGTGGTCGAAATTTCCGGAGCCCTCCACTACGGCGTCTCTCATAATCATATGGTGGTTTTGGGACGTTAAACCCCACATATCAATCAATCAGATTGTTAGGCCACTAGCTTCGCGAATTCTGTAATTGTCAAAACTATAATAATGTCATCAAAACGCAGATTCTCAGCTTTATTCGGGCGGCTCCGTAAATAACATGCCGATATCGATGACGCTGATGATGCATGCGACAACGGCGATACCAATGAGTCCCTATATCACTTGAAAAATGTATGACATTCAGCAAACTTCATGCTATGCACCTTCGCTACCAAATTTCTCTTATTAACCTTTATTCCCTGCGTGAATGACAATACCGAGATACAAAATGTGTTTAGAGCAACGAATAGTAGCTTCAGCTAATCAACGTTGTGCCGGTGCAAAAAAAAAACAATAGCGAAGAAAACATGTTTTTCCTACATCGTGCTTAGTATATCAACAGATGACCACAATTTTTCGTTTAGTCTGCAGTGCATTTGTTAGGCATTCAGAACGTTTCTTTACAATGTTACTGAAAAAAAAAACATTCAACCATATCTTAACTCAGGCAGCATCACTTGCAAATTTAGGCAGCATCTTTTGCAAACATATAGACTTTATTTTATCTGGTTCGAAAATGCCTGTGTAATTCTATTTATTTACTTTCAGTGTGCCTTTGCCCGAAGTATGATGTGGACGGATACGTCCGCACAAAGTACGACCGTTGGTACTACAATACTACGACGAGTCGCTGTGAAAATCGTACGGCTGTAGCAGGCGGCTGTAACGATTTTGAGACCAGCGAACAATGTGAGACACATTGCTCCAACGCTACCAAACGATCAAATGCGCTTTGGTCTCAAGAACAACAAAAGGCTATATCGGCTAAGAAATTTTGAAAGCGCTATTCCTAGGAGCAGTTCCTGACACATAACAAAAAAAGAATTGTTTTGTGAGATTAGTAATTAAATTTATGAATGTCCAACTGAACATCTAATTACTCTGCCACCAGTCAGCACCATTGTTGCACAGAAATATTTCGCTATTAGTATTTGAATGCATGCAGAGATTGTTTTTTTATTGTAGTTGTTTTGAGCGAAGAAAAAAGTGCTTTCAACGTTGGTTCTGGAACGCGTCATGTCGAACAACCGTCGAACATGGAAGTGTATCCAGCGAAATGATCATATGCATAATGAAGTTGCTTTTCGCTAGCTGTATATTTGGGAGTCCTGCACACATGTGCACACACAGTGTGAAACCATTTGGTAAAACGCGTGGTGCGTGACGTACCATTGAAGTTCACGTGTGCATTAGGACCCACCGTGACTGAAGGGGTTATATTGGACAACGTATCAGTGTACAACATTGAGCGTCTGAACCTGATGAACGTAGATTTGTTCCCTCAAGTAATAAAAAATTGGAAGTGACCATGGTAGTTGCCTTAGGTGTGTGTCACTCGCATCACGGTGTTTGGATGCCCTGGTGTATTTCCTGTGTTTTAATATTTTCGTCACATTGCCGGCCGGGATCTCACAGGCAACGTTCAAAGGAAAAAAAAAAGCTCGTAGTAGTGATCAACTCCCCCATGCTTCACCATGGTTCCAGCTGCTTACAAGCAAACCGCATCGTCTATCGATCCTATTCAATCACTTTTTAATTATTCTTGTAGCATGTAAGTAAAACGCATGCTAAGGAGCCTTTGCAACCCTAATTAAGCGTGTCTATCTCTCCGTAAGTGTCTGAATTGTGAAATTCATCAATTTCATCATGCCAGTGTAGAATCTAAGAACAAATCTGTCATAATTTTATTTCAATGAAGAAACCACATTGCTTTTAAGACTAGGGTGACGTACAACAGCGATTTTTCCATCCAAACTGATGTTTCTTTACACGGGAGTGATGAATTTGGCCGGGTGATTTGATTGGAATTACACGAGAAATTCCAAGTATTCCAAGAGAAAGAAAGAGGGTGAGGGACAGACAGAAAGCTAGGGGGAAGATAAGATTAGGACTTTTGTGAATATAAAATGGCACCAGCAACCACTAGACCGAGTTGACTCTCGGCACATGAGAGAGACCTTTGTCCTGCAGTAGGCGAAGTCAGGCTGATGACGATGTTGATGACGTGAAAAATATGAAGTAATGTTCGCGCGGTCCTTGTCAGGCCACACTATGGACGCTCGGGATAATTTTAGCACTACCACACTACCTATACGTTTTCACATACAAAACAATATCTCTTTAACTTGTGGAATACCTGAAAAGTTGCAGAGTGACCTTGGATGCTCTACAGGATCGCCATGATGAAGTAATTCTTCCGGTCCGTCTCTACCAAGGAAAGTCCATGTGTGGCATGTTTTCCTGGTTTCCACTAGAACGGGAATTCATGCACGGTTTTTGGTCGGTTGGCATACACAACTTTTTATCGTGTTTTGGTGTGAACCAGGCTGCTGTGGTTTTGTGGCAGGTGAGCTGGTGTAATCTCGTGGAGCCAGGTCTGGTGTCTTTGGGCAGGGCCAGTGTATTGTGATGTAATCATAGCCATGACTTCGCATGTTTTAGCACTGTTTGTAGAAGTTATGTCCATAATGTACGTTTTAGGGTGCAAAAATAAAGCAGTTCAGCCTGCACATGGTGTAATTAAAACAGTAACATAATCACAGTCATTGCCCCATAGGGAACCCTGAATAGTATGCAAAGCACCAAGGAGTTGATTCTAAGGATTTATATCCTCTATTTTTTTTTCATCATCACAGGCGGGCAAGTCAGTCTTCATATACAAATCAGAGCTCTGAAGAACATTTTTCCATGAGTCCGTAAAGTATACCAATAATGGTTCCTGATGCGCACAGTTGTGGCTTGAGATTGAGAATGCATTGTCAAGGCATGTTTTCTTGATTGTAGTAGGATACTTTTAATTGTATGAAATGCAGCGGAGCGCGTAATGGGACACCGTGTACGGGACTAGGCAGTCGCATAATTCATAATGCTCACGTTAAAAACGCTGGTGAGTACGAAGGAAAATGTCCTTTCTATTATTGAGTTTCATAACTGCGTAGGCCGCGAATCACGAAGTGGCACAGCCTAGTCGGGTGCGCATCGGTGCTGCCGCTGCCAAGCGAGCACTGGCAAAGAGAGAGAGCGCTGCTACCGCTGCACCTGTAGTGGACACGCCGTGTTGACAGACGGCATGTCCAGAGTTACCAAGCGTTACCAGATGCATCGACGTATTTTTGTAAAAGTAGTAGTGGTGTGCCACTCATGGGCCTTCAAGACACGTCGACTCCAACGGAATATGATTGTTAACTTATGGCCTTACGTAACGTCAGCAGGCACGTCAAAGAACAGTGGCCAATAATAACGAGACGAACTGCACATTACTGCGCCGTGGTGTAAATATCACATTGAACTTTCATTAGCGTGTTTGTCTTTTCGCTAGCCCGTTTAGAAACACTTGTGTACAGTTTGCCTAATCACATTAGAACAAATATAATTTTTATTAGACTGCTATACAAGCCGTGCCAGCACCCGCACCACAATTGACGTTAACTCGATGCAAGGCATCGATTGAATGAGTGCGTGAGTATTATTTATTGCTTTGTTATAAAACTGGGAAAACATAACTTCAACCAAGTGCTGAATTTACACCGACAATATTCTAGCACACTGACTTTATCCGAAAGCAGTTTATGACCGGGCCTAGTTCTGTAGTGCAATCGCTAGTGATTACGCAAAACGCCTGAGTTCGCTCCGAGCAGGAATCTTAATATTTATTCGTTGCATTCATCGACTGCACACTGCCAATGTCAGTTATTTAACGCTGCCGCACTTAAATTCATTGCAAATGTATGTTCTCAAACTTCCCGAACAGATTATCAATCCCCCGTGGCGCCTACCTGCATACTGCAGACCACAGTTCGGAGTATATGTCACACATGTGTGGAAGAAAAAGTTGGATGACGTACGTGGCAGAGTTCTCGACATTATTATTATGACCACGCTGTCGTAATTGTTGCACCCTCTTAATATTTTAAAGTAGTTTTCTTCACAACAAGCGAAGTGCATGTGATCACGATACCACGTAGACATCGGCAACAAAACAAACAGACAGACAGACAGACAGACAGACAGACAGACAGACAGACAGACAGACAGACAGACAGACAGACAGACAGACAGACAGACAGACAGACAGACAGACAGACAGACAGACAGACAGACAGACAGACAGACAGATAGATAGATAGATAGATAGATAGATAGATAGATAGATAGATAGATAGATAGATAGATAGATAGATAGATAGATAGATAGATAGATAGATAGATAGATAGATAGATAGATAGATAGATAGATAGATAGATAGATAGATAGATAGATAGATAGATAGATAGATAGATAGATAGATAGATAGATAGATAGATAGATAGATAGATAGATAGATAGATAGATAGATAGATAGATAGATAGATAGATAGATAGATAGATAGATAGATAGATAGATAGATAGATAGATAGATAGATAGATAGATAGATAGATAGATAGATAGATAGATAGATAGATAGATAGATAGATAGATAGATAGATAGATAGATACGGATAACACGCGCTTTGTTAAGCATGCTTTGAGGCACGATAATCAAGTTGACTCGTCAAAACTAACAAGAATGAAAAAAGTATCTGTAAAATCAATATAAGAATTACCATGTCTTCTGCATGCATAGCCATTCTGCATTTTCATGAAATATTAAGGACCACTTTTCTGCCTAAATCATTCAGTCTAAAGTTGAAGAAAAGTTTGGTGTAGAGAACACGCAAATTTTCGACAAAAATGGCACGTATTGGCAAATATTGCTCTTTCTGGTCTTTTATAACACTTTTTATTAAAAAACATTGCAGTTCTTGTTCACAGTATTAGTTCCCAGAAAAAATCGTATAACTTCTCTTTACAAACATTTTGCACTTGCTATACAGGGAGATGTAGTGCACTGTGAAATATGTTATACACCAACCTTGTCAATGTCCTCCCCTCCCCCTCCAAACAAAAAGTCTGCAATTCAAAATTGCATTTCTACACACAGCTAGCCTTACTGAAGACAATACCACTAAATATACTGCAATTTTGTATGTGTTTTCCTTGTTACACAATTGCAGGCTGTGCTCGCAAACACATAAGCTATAAGGCTGCTCACAATCCTTGCAATTGAAAGGTAACGTTTTAAATACCATTTTGTGGTTTTTTGTAGTTTTTCAATGGTAACTGTAGTCAAATTGAAAAACCTTTGTCTGCCCTCCCACTTTAAAGCTTTTTATTGTTTCACTACTTGACAAGCTACAATGCGTCTTTAGTTAAATGCCTCCAAAGTGCGGAGGCAGTGATGAAATAGCATGAAAATTGTGTGCGCACGCTAACCAAAAGCGTTATCGTTAGAGAGATTTGGAGACATTTTCCTGCTTGTGTCCACGATGCACAAAACATAACCCCAAAATATGAAACAGCAACCTTTGTTCCTTGGTGTTCTTTGTGTACCTTAATATGTCAGGCGTTTGTGTTTCTTGTAGTGTAGCTCCAGTGTTAATGATATTTTTTGAGCTTTGTTGAAGGAGACATCAATAGCCTGTCTCTCCATGTTTTCCAATATCGTCGGGGGTGTCTGATCTTCCTGGACTGGAATGGTTTCCTGAGGTCGTTGGTAAACATCTATTAGGTTAAGAAGAGAGTAAGCTTTATGTATGAAGTTCCAAAAGACAATATTTACTACTCTAGGACCTATTCACTCATATTTGCAAAGCTCTTTCTTAAATGGAAGTTCAGCGTACTGAGAACTTTAGATCAATAGATGAAAAAAAACACATTTCTTTAGAAAGCAGCTGCAGACAGTGCAGTGTAAGTTTGTCATCAACTCCATGCTGATGGTGACCTGAGAAGGACGTGATCATACTTTCGCTAAATTTTGGCTTGTATAAATCATGTTCTCAGTCGTACGTGTTCCGTATTGGAGAGCAGGTTCATTGTTTATCAGTAAGTTTTTTTGTGGCAATGACACGACTATAACGTCGGCCACAGACCATTTGTTGAAATATTTGCGTTCGATGACATGTAAAGAGCAGATTCTCTTGGTGATATTATTCAATAAACACTTTGTGGTACCGCAACGTACGTATAGGATGCGACTCCCCGATGATGCTCTGTTTCTTCTGTAGACGCCTGTCTACTCATCCTTATGAAACTAACAGACAAGAAAGTAAAAAAAATTCATCCGGTAATTTTCGTAGTTCTACCAGTACAGTAGTAAATGTGTGTTGAGTGCGAAGAAATCAAGGACAACAAAAAAAAACATGTGGCTGCCTTTAGGTACCAAATTTGCAATCCTATTAGAAAAATGTCCTGCCATCCCGAAGTTCCCGAACAGTGGGGCATGG